CCCAAAGGCGCGGGATTACAGGCTGAGCCACTGAGCCCGGCTTGTATGTATTCTTACAATAAAGTAAGCTAGAGACAACAGAATGTTATTAAGAAAATCATAGCTGGGCTCGGTGGCTCAGCCTGTAATCCCGCGCCTTTGGGAGGCTGAGGTGAGTGGATTGCCTGAGCCCGCGGGTTCGAGACCCGCCTGGGCAGGCAAGACCTCATCTCTACAATAAATCAAAAAATCAGCCAGGTGTGGTAGCGTGTGCCTGTAATTCCGGCTACTCGGAAGCCTGAGGCGGAAGGATCGCCGGAGCCCAGCAGGTCGAGGCTGCGGTGGCCGGGAGCGGCCACTGCACTCCAGTCTGGGCGACCGAGTGAGACTCAAACAAAAAAAAAAAAAAAATAAAATCATAAGTAAAATATTGGCTATTCATTAGGTGGAAGTGAATCATCATAAAGAACTTTCTCCTCATCTATATGTTGAGCAGGGAGAAGAGGAAGAGGAGAGATGTTGTTTGCTGTGGCAGAGGTGGTAGAGGCAGAAGGGGAGGTAGAGGAGGTGGAAGGGGAGACAGGAGAGGCAGGCACACTCTGTGTAACTTTTATTTTAAAAAAATCCACGTATAAGTGGACCCACACAGTTCAGACCTGTGCTGTTCAAAGGTCAACGGAAAACAATTTGCCCTTACCAAATGACTTCAGACTGTGTGTATAAGTTCTTTTGCTTCTTTTTAAACCTCACTGTCAGTATGCCTGTCTGTATCAGTTTTATTCCCCCTAATATGAGACTTTTAATCCTTTAAGGGCTTTTATCCTGCTTTGTACAAATTGTATGTGAAGTGAGAATAAAAAGATTTCATTAGAAAATGAGGGATTTTTTTTAAATCAGCTTTTCAGGTTGAAAGGGAATTTTTAACTAAGGGAGAATATATGGGCTTTTAGTACAACCTTTGTTATCTATATTTTGATTACTTACAGGCTTTCCCCCTCATTCAATTTTTAAATTGATATATAATTCACATATCAAAATTCATCCTTCTAAAGTATACAATTCAGTGATTTTTAGTGTATTCACGAAGTCAGCAACTATCACCACTGTTTAATTTCATTTTTTATTGTCTTTTATTGTAACTGACATGAATATCCCTGCCAAAGCAATTTAATTTGAGAAAATTTGCATCCCCAGAAGAAACCCCATACTCTTTAGCAGTCACTTCTTATTCCCCTCTCTGGATCTCCCCCACACTCCAGCCCTTGGCAATCACTAATATCTACTTTCTGTCTCTGGATTTGCCATTTTACTTGAGTGGAATCATATAACATGTGACCTTTTGTGT